CCGCACGCACGCCGCCATCCACCTGCCTCCCCGCGGGGATGGCCCGCCGATGACCGTCACCGCCGCGCGCCCGAGCTGCCCTCGTCCAGGCTGCGCTGCGTCGCCCCGCGCTCGACTCCCTCCCCTGTCCACGGCGTCCCGGCCCCCGGCGACGCCAAGAGGGCGAAGATGTGGCTGAAGCTGTTTTTCTTGCTCCTGTATTTCCTGGTTCTGTTCGTCCTGGCCAGGTTTTTTGAGGCCATTGTGTGGTATGAGACCGGCATCTTTGCTACCCAGCTGGTGGACCCAGTGGCATTGAGCTTCAAGAAGCTGAAGACCATTCTGGAGTGTCGAGGTTTGGGCTACTCCGGGTTGCCCGAGAAGAAAGATGTTCGGGAGCTGGTGGAGAAGTCAGGCAAGTGCCGGGCTCCCCGAGGTCGCCTCCACTGTCCTGGCTCACTGGAATGAGGCGGCCCCGGGAATGGTCAAGCACACTGCTCCCGAGTGCTGCCCAGGTCTTCTTTGACCGCGTTTTCTACGAATATGTAAATCCGGGTTTTGAAAAGGGGCCTACTAGGTGTATTGGTGTGTTTGTAAGGTTCTTTGGAAATGACAGTTTGAAAATGTAGCTTTTAAAAGTGTTAAATTGATGTATTACAGAATTCAGGAACGTCAGTTGAAATTGATTAAAATATAGGGAAAGGAAAAACTCCAAAATGTAGCTGTATATAGCAGCATCAGTCTCCATAGTAAAAACAAGCTACCGGGAGGGTAAAACATCATTAAAATAATAACAAAGAGGCACGTGAACCTAAGATTTACATGTAAATGATGTGTTTCAGTATGGGTAAGGTGTGCAAGGTGCAGATTTTCTCTTTATGCTTTAAATGAAGTGAACATTTTGTGTGACAGCCAGCCTTCTTTGAAGTTCATATTTTCTTGCAGGATTACAATTTTTATTTTTGAATTTTGAATGTATACCTTTCTTGTCATGTGTCACAGGCATCCCTGCATCATGTAATGGGTTGAGGAAGAGAACTGAAAAAAACACTGAAAGAATATTTAATGCCTTAACTAATATATTTCCATTAGCCATTAATTTGGGGTTTAGGATTGGGTAGGGAAATACAGTTAATTTGATTCACTGCCGTACAAAGGAAAATGCCTCTTTGTTTAGGTAGTAATCCTGATAGAGGCATGTAAGTTGAGAGAGGCATTCGGAGTTGCTGCCGGAAGTGTGTGGAACTGCTGATTATCTTTTTTGTCGTTTCAAGAGTGTCTGTCAGCTGGGCCTTTTACAAGATAATTTTTTTCCTTATTTAGTACTGTCTAGACCTATAGTGTGATAGGCAAGAATGCAAACTACAGCAGGCCAGCACTTGTTTATTATAGCATAGGAGTTACAGAACTCATCTCACCAACGGGGTAGAGGGAAGGAATCCTTTCAATAAGGGCCACACTTTCCAACTTGAGTATTAGTATCGCCCTTGTTTGCTGCCTCCTGTGCTGCCATTGGTTGTTGGGGGAGGGAAGTGAGTTGGCTAAAGTGAAAGTTATTGTCTCATAGAGTTATTTGAGCACACGTTTCCCCCTTTGAGCTTTATGTTAGGTATTTGCTGCCTTTTGAACTTGTAATTGTCATATGGAATGTACAAGGAATCCACATATAGCCTAAAGAATAGACAGCTGAAGTATGATTCAGATCACACGTTTTATAGCATAATAACAAAAAGTCTTGGAATGGCGATTCACCTGTAAACCCAAGTGTTTGTTGTGGATGGCTTTGTTTCTGGAGTGAAATGGGGTTACTGACTCACTGCGTAATATTTACGGCAAAAGTTAAATAATGTGACATGAGTGGTTTGGTTTTTATATTTTATGATACAGGATCCAAGTTTACACTGCAAACTTGTATATGAGTGTGGGGTTTGTTCTGATAGGTAAACATTCTATCTCCCACTCACATAAAAACCTTGTTGCTATTTTAGGCAGGCTGATGGCAAGTTCTGTCAACCTATTTCTAAATCTTTTGAGTCAGAACACATAAACCAGGCTGTTGAAAAATGCAGGCTTATATAAAATTACATGATTACTAGTTTGATTTTTTTTTCTGGATTGGTATAAATGGGTAGTTTATTAACAGGGTATATGATGACCCCATTAGAGAGAGTATAAACTGTACTATAAGAGATGGGTTTGTCTCTTCACTCTTTGCTAATGAACGAATCTTGTATTCAGGTGCTATTCTTTTTTCCCATAGAATGAGCATTTTATAATATGGCTATTTATGATATAAAATGAAATTAATCATTGAAGTTGGAAACATGAGATTTTTTAAATCTTACCAAGTTTTTGTTTCCTTCAGGTGACCTGATGGAGGGTGAACTCTATTCTGCTCTTAAGGAAGAAGAGGCATCTGAGTCTGTTTCTAGTACCAATTTCAGTGGTGAAATGCACTTCTATGAGCTTGTGGAAGACACAAAAGATGGCATCTGGCTTGTTCAGGTAGAAAGAGCATTAATACTTGAGCACCATATTTCTACTAAAATAGTATTTACCACTGACTGACACTTCTGTTGTGTCATGCTTCCTAGGCAAAACTCAGTTCTCATAGGGTTTTTCAAACCATAATAATGTAAACCAGGGCAGGAGGTGCAGCTCATTTGGCAGCGTATACCACTTAGGCCAGGCATGGTGGTACACACCTGAAACGCCAGGTGTGTGGAAGCAGGAGACCCTGAAGTTCAAGGTCTCCCTCAGCAGCTTAGTGAATTCAAGGCCACTCTAGGATACACGAGACTCTATCTTTGAAAAACAGTAAAAATTCAAGAGTGGAATAGGAAAGAGCGGAGAAAGGGAATTGTTTTGAGAACCAGCAAAAAGAAATGTATAGAAACACATGTGTTCTTTTAAAAAAAATTAAATGATTTATTTATTTAGTTTTTCTAGACAGGGTTTCTCTCTGTAGCTTTGGAAGCTGTCCTGGAACTTGCTCTGTAGACCAGGCTGGCCTCATATCCACAGAGATCCGCCTGTCTCTGCCTCCCAAGTTCTGGGATTAAATGCGCCACTGCTACCTGGCTATTTATTTTTATTTGATGTGCATTGGGGACTTGCCTGCATGTCTTATGAGGATATCAGATCCCCCTGGAACTGGAACTACAGACAGTTGTGAGTTGCCATGTGGGTACTGGGAATTGAATCTAGGACCTCTGGAAGAGTCACCACTGCTCTTAACCACTGAATCATTTTTCCAGTTCCTTCTTTTTAACAGTGTGCACTATTTTTTATGATTTTTAACTCTAGTTTTGAGTTCATTAGTCCACATTATTTTAATATGTAAGGGAAGGACACAAAGGTAAATAAATTTGTGCATTAGCAAAGTAACCCACTTTGAATGGCAGCTCTGCTAACCAGAACGGAATCAACAGTTCAGCTAAGTAGACAACTTGACTGTACTGGGGAGCTGGGGAGCATGCATTATTTTGTTTATGATGATGAGATCGTGTTTATGATATCAAGACTGTGAGATTTGATTAGTATATTAGAAATTTAAAGAGTAAAGGGCTTTAAAAATTATCTTTCATGCTTTTCATGGCATGGTTTAGGGTAAGTGGATACACATTAATGTAACCATGTAAATAGAATAATTATGTGATATTGAGTTTGTAATGTTATCCTAAATGTTGCTTGGAAGAAAGCACCGCTTAATTTTTAAAATCTGCATTCACTTACAGTAACACAATAAGTAGACTAGAGGCCTGAATGTGGCATGAATGAAGAACGTAGTATGGATGGCTGAAATGCAGAAGTCCTGGCCGGCTAACCCTGTCTGAAGCACTACGATGGACTCAGATCTCAGATCCTCTGATTTTTTTTTTCTTTTTTCAGACTGGTTTTTATTTAGCCACTGACAGTTCGTAGAGATACCCTCCCCCTTCTTCAGTGTGTTTGAGCTTTCACTTTGCTGTTGACAAATTTTGATTTAGGGTGTGAAAATGAAATTAGCTTCTTCATATTGCTTTCTGAGAACAAAGACTGCAAGGTTTGGTTTTAAAATAAGGTTTGAATTCTGAAACCTTAATTGTTGTCATTGGCTTGCAGTATGATTGGAAATAGCTAGGTTTTCTCTGTGTCTGGCCTCAAGTACTTAGGCATTTAAAGAGGATGGAATGACACTGCCATCCAGTGCACCGAAAAGGTGAGCTTTGGTAATTGTGGAGATTTCGCTGGAAGCCCCTGGCGTTCCCTGTATAGTACATTCCTACTGCACTGACTTTTTGCCTTCTCATAATCAGCAGAGGTGGAGCCTGAGAGGGTCCCTACACTGTGCAGTCAATTCTCGTTTACTTCTGTCTTACTTCATTAACTTAAGAAATACGATGAAAGAGTTGAGAACATAGCTCAGTGGTAGAACATGTGTTTAGCATGCAGGAAGCCCTGGATGTGATGTCCAATATTGAAAAAAAAAATCATCCATCTCTTTAAAGCTTTAAGAAATTGTTATTCTGTTTCTTCCCCTAGTACTTACTCCTAACAGATCAAGGAAGATTTATTGGTTTTGATAATTTTAGATCTTTTAACAAGATAGAATTGAATAGCCAGTCCCATCACTGTGTATTTATGGCCTAAATGCTTATCACTCACATGAATTGATTCTCTGCAAATGAATGGGGAAGAAGGCACTATGTACCTGTGGAACTCAGAAGAGTCATGACAAGGCCTAGGAATTGCTTTGAAATCCAGGATCCGCCTGTAAATCAAGGGTATATCTGACTGACTAGTTAGCAGTCTATTCTTCACTTTTAAGTTATCTTTTAAAAAAAGATTTATTTTTATTTCATGTGTATCGGTGTTTTGCCCCATTTATGTGTGGGTACCGTGTGCGTGCCTGATGCTCATGGAGGCCAGAAAAGGGTGTCAGAGCCCCTGGAGCTAGTGTTATAGATGGTTGTTAACTACCATGTGGTGCTGGGAATCAACACAGGTATAGTAGCCAATACTCTTACCCACGGACCCGTTTTTCCCAGCCCCAATTATCTATTTTTGTTGTCTTACTTATATATATGTAAATCCATATATATATGGATTAAATCCCTTAGTATATGACAAAATTAGCTCCTTTATTCAGTATAAATGGCTATGCAAGGCTCTGTTCTAGGACATGGAGATATAGCAGGAAGATACCAAAGGCTATGTTCAGACAGCTCACATTCCAGCTGTGAGAATCAGACATCGAATAAATTAATATTTAATACAACACCAATAAGTTGAAAGTTATAAAAAGAAAAAGAAGCAGGCTAAAGAGACAGACTAACGAGGCATTTTTTTTTTACAAGGTGGCCATTATAGCTTCTAGTCTCTGCCTTGTGTTCCTCCAAAGTGTTTTAAAGGCATATTCACAGTTAAAAAGCACCTCCTAAGAACAATGGGATGTGTTTATATGGTTTCTTCATAAAGAAACAGGGCAATAGGACACAATTCTCCAGCAGTCAAATCAAACTTTGCACTGATTTCCAGTGTCTGACTTGTGTTCTTTGTGGCCAGTGACTGACATCTGTCAGATGGCTCATCTGGTCTGTTAGGACAGCTGAGACCTGCCCTTGGCACTGGGAGCTGACCTGCTAAGCTTATTGGCTGGGCACCTCCTGTAAGCTTCATAGTTATTTTTGGGTTTTGATTTCTTTAGTGTTTTAAACTATACTTAAAAATTTTAGAATATCTGCTAGGAAGAGAAGGAAAGTGTTCTCTTGGTCGGTTGTCATTCTTCTGCCAGATCATATAATCCAGTCTTTTGCAAGGGGTGGCTTTCAGGAATACATTTTCTACAGTTTGAATTGCGATTACTTTCTACTTCTGTTTTCTGTTGTCTGTTTTGAGGCAGGTTCACTTTGTAGTTAAAGCATCAGCAGTCTTCCTGCCTCATCTTTCTGAGTGCTGGATTATAGGTGTTGGCCATCATGTTAGTCTCCGTGTTAGGTGTTATAAAAGACGCTTGTGTTTGTGTGTTTGTTCTTTTCCTTTTCTAATGAGGAGTATTTTCATAGACTGTGCTGCATTGACTCTGGCCACTTCTGTCTTCAGCTTGTTGAGCTCGATTCCATGTGCATTCTCAATCCTCGAGCATGTGTGGAGACTGGAACTGTATTTCTTTTCCTGTTGCCAGGCCAGGATACCTGGTGGCAGCAGTGTAGGAAGGAAAGGTCTAGCTGGGCTCCCAGTGTGAGGATATAGTCCATCATGAAGGGATAGCATGGCAGCAGCAGTGTGGGAGGGAATGCCCACTGTCTGACCACCAATGGACAGCTTTGCAGAGTTGATTCTCTCCTTCCTTTATGTGGATCTGGCAATCAAATTCAGGTTACCAGGCTTGCCAGACAAATGCTTTTACCTACTAAGCCATTTGATTCCCTGTCTTCCCCCATTTTTTAAAATTACATCTATCTTTTGTGGTGAGAAGCACTTACTGAGATCGAGGACAACTTGTAGGAGTTAGTTCTCTCCTTCCACCAACCATCACAAAAACTAATTTTCATTTTTAAATGTAGCAAAATCTATGTGACAGCTTTACCAATAATATGTACTATGTAATGCACACAGAATCAAGTCCTTTCTTTGTGGCATAATTGATACAAAGTTACAATCTCCTACTTTGTCCCTAACCTAAATTCCTGTCTCTCATTAGCCATTTATTTCCCAATTTTATGGATTCTTTGATTCTACAACTAGCTAGTCTTCTTGGCACCAAAATTAGAGGATGATTATTTTGTTTCAAAATGTTGCTGGTCAGAGACACAAATGGCAAAGGCTTTTGAAATGGAAAAGTTACATAGTGAGTGGCTTTTATGGAGTTGTTCTCTAACATTTTTATTTCTTTGTTTTGACTTTTGTCATGATTCAAAAAGGGATATAGCTGCTTGTTCCCTACTGGATGTCCCACTTAATGAGCTTAAAGTCATTGAAGCTGCACAGCAGTGAAAAAATTCTTTATGACTTAAAGTACTGGAAAGCTTTGGACACTATTTACTGAAGTATTATGTTAATGCATTTCCTGTTTGGCTGGAAGCTGATTTTAAGCTTGTTAATCTTTGCTCTTAGATAAGAGTTCTGTTTAGGGCATTTCTAATTTATTCATCCTTTTATTGGGCTACTACAGAGCAAAATATAAGCTTAATACAAGCAAACCACTTGTGTTTGATGTTGGTGAAAAAGTTTATGTCTTTACCCATAATGTAAGCCAATGAGAATAATACACTTTATTTTAGCCAGAAATTAAAGAAATGGTAACAGGGTGAATATTAAAATTAGTTAATTAAAATGCTATTCAGTTTCAGCTTTTGTCCATCACTGACCCTCCTTTAAAGTTAATATATGCAAACCTTTCAGTTGACTAACATAACTGTATAGGATTTTAGCAAAGTAATTTCTAATTGTATAGCTATAGTGACAGAGTTATATAAAATGATTTCATTAAAAGCTTAGATGACTTCACATTTTTGTGCCGC